CCCTCCCTAAGCTTTGAGTTCCTCAATGCCCAGCTGAGGATATCCATGCCTCAAGGGGTAATTGGAGAAGCAAATGAAGCAATGGACAGAAAGAGCTTGGGGAATCTTCAGCTGCTGTGCATGTCACTTATACTCTACTACTGTGATACCAAGCTTCAGACGCATTTAAAAAATGGTCAAAGTGTGTAAAAAATCTCCCAATCACAAGAGGCACCCATACCCACTAGGGTGGGCCATAAGGCAGTTATATGTCAACAAAACAGGTTAAAACTTGCAATTCAGTGAAGCAAAATCTGGTGTCAGAGGAAGGAAAGATTTGAGTGAGAATTCTGTGGGACACTCAGTAGCTGGTTGTGTGATTGTGAGCACAATTTTATCACTTCTCGGAAATTCAGGCTTATCTGTAAAATAGGGATAATAACAATACCTACTTCCCAAGATTACTCAGGGGAAAGAAAACATGTGTAAAAGTACCCTGAAAACTTATAGTACTACATAAGTATTACTATTGTTGTTACTGTGCTCTTGTATCATGATGCTCATTGGCCAAAAAGCCAAGGAAGAAGGAAAAGAAGTTATTTGATTCTTTGATGGCCATCCTGTGAATATACTGGAACAAAACAGAGGTAAAAATGCTTTCCATAATTAAACATTTCTCTGTTCTTTTGTCCTTTTAATGGCAGGTGAAATCATTTCCCAATACAGAGGTTCCCCAGTGTTGCATGCGCCATCTTGATTACACATCTGGAATCCATCCTCAGAGAAAAGCCAGCAGAGTCCTGCCAGTGTCCTCTAAACACCCAAGCTGAGAGGGGTTAACATAGAATGCTCTGTTGGAACTTTGATGTTCCCTGGTTTGTGTTTTGTCTAATTAAGACAAGATTTAATAACCCAACCGCCGGAGAAACTACGGACCGAAAGTCCAGGCTTGTTTTCAATTTTGTGTGAATTCTCTGCAGGTGCCAAGGAATCAGCACCACATGGGTGAGCTCTCTGATAAGATTTGCTTTCTCCCACCGTGGTCCTAGAGGGAAGCTGCTTTTCATCTCGCCCCCATCCACAGGACTGGGATGAGCATCTGCCTGTCAGAGACTCAAGGGGGATACAGAAGGGAAAGATGCGTTGAACAGTTCTGATATTAATAATGTGACCCAACAGAGAACAGTGGCATCTGGAGGTTATGGGGCATGATTCAGTCCAAAAGAAGATTTAAAAAATTGTGGGAGGAAGATTTGTCTTAGCCAGAGACTGTGTGGGATTTTCAAAGGAAAAGAAGAATTCATTGACACGTTGGCTATCCTAATTCTAATCGCTTTTTTCTTCAGAAATTTAGGAGTGTGCACCTGTTTTTAGAAAATGGAAGTAAAAGAAAAACAGGAAGTTCCATCCAACTCAACATTTGTTATTTTTAAACTTCTGATTTCTTTTTTTTCCCTTAGGCAATTGGGGTTAAGTGACTTGCCCAGGGTCACACAGCTAGCAAGTGTCAAGTGTTTGGTTTGAGGCCGGATTTGAACTCAGGTCATCCTGACTTCAGGGCCGGTGCTCTATCCACTGCGCCACCTAGCTGTCCCTAAACCTCTGATTTCTAAGCTAAACTATTAATGGTAAATATGAAGGCCTCTTGACTCAACCTCCAACCTGAATGTCAGTCCAATCATCCCATTTGAGAGATGAGGAAACCGAGGATCAGAAGTCACATCCAGCTAGGTGACAGTGGACAGAGTGTCAGCCTTGAAGCCAGCAAGATCTCTGTTCTTCAGCCATTTACTAGCCATTCACATGACCCTGGGCAAAGTAATCAACTCAGCCTCAGTCTCTTCATCTATAAAATGGGGATAATAATGGCACCCCCTTCCCAGGGGTATTGTGAAGTTGAAATGAAACAAGGAAGGGCTTCACAAACCTTAAAGAGCTTTATAAATGTCAGCTATAATCAGTATGTCCAAGGGAAGATTCAAACCCAAGTCTTCTAACACAAATTGAATGGTTTTATTCTGGGGAAAACTTTTCTCAGGGCCTTTCTGTTCATTCAATGAGCAATTCTTAAGACTCTCCCATGTACCAGGCACTGCTTGAGATGTTGGGGATAAAGAAATCAAGCCACAGAATAACCCCAAATCTCAAGAAGTTTGACATTTTCCCCCTCTGGTAAATACTTAAACATATCCAAGCAACATTAAAAAAGGTCATTGTTTTGCCCTTTTGTGCTCACCCTTGTGAGTTGGAATCATGTGAGGTCAGCACCTCAGCCCATGCTGAAGGGGTTTGAACCTACACATTCTGCCTTATACAAGTAGCTGACCCCAAGGCAGAACTCGGGCCCTACTTCAGTCGATTCCAACATCCTTGATGTTGTTGACTGGCCAGTCAGAAACATGGCACCTACAGTGGCCTGTACCTGGCTAAGATGTCCATGGGGAAGCCAGGCCATGAGACGTAGAACATTTGACCTCTGGTGGCTACCATGAGTCACGCAGTCTTGCCTCCTGGTTAGGCCATACATCCTTCACCATTGTGCCAGGAACAGATGTAAAGCATGCATGTGTTTGTATCAATCGATATGTTAGGTGCTCTTACAAAATGCAATCACAGTAAATTTGGCTCCACTAGAAAAACCCCTGAGGATGCAGAAGGGAGAGACCTTGGATTTCCATTCTAACTGTAAAAATCAGACTTCCAAGCCAGGAAGCAACCTGATGGGTCATTTTTAGAAACCAAGCAACGTGTGAGCAAAGTCGGTGGGAAACATGCTGTCAGCTGCCATCTGTAGGCTCGGAGACCTAGAGACCAGCCTTTTCATTCTACAGGTAAAGAAGCTGAGACCCAGGGAAGAATGATCAATCCCGCAGCTGGTCAGTAATAGATCTGGGGTTTAAACTGCTTCTAACATCAGTGTCTCTTACATTGGACCACACCGCCTTTCATTTGATTCAACTCATCACGCACATATTAAGCAACCAATAGAAAAAACAGGACCCATCCTCAGGAAGCTTACATTCTACATGGGAGTAGTGGGGAGTGAAAGCACAGCCCCAGAGAGGAAAATGAAAGACAGATGCAAAGCAGATACCACGTAATTTCAAGGGCAACCATATGGGATGTCATGGTCTGATTTTGTCCAAGAGATTAAGAACTGCTAAGAAAATTGTGTGTGTATGTGTGTGAGAGAGAGAGAGAGAGTGAGTGTGTGTGTGAGAGTGTAAGTGTGTGTGAGAGTGTGAGTGTGTGTGTGAGAGTGTGAGAGTGTGTGTGTGAGAGTGGGAGTATGTGTGTGTGAGAGTGTGAGTGTGTGTGAGATTGTGAGTGTGTGTGAGTGTGAGTGTGCATGTGTGTGAGAGAGTGTGAGAGAGTGTGAGTGTGTATGAGAGAGTGTGTGTGTGAGAGAGTGAGTGTGTGTGTGAGAGTGTGAGTGTGTGTGTGAGAGTGTGAGTGTGCATGTGTGTGAGAGTGTGTATGTGTGAGAGGGCGAGTGTGTGTGAGACTGTGAGTGTGTGTGAGAGTGTGAGAGTGTGTGTGAGAGAGTGAGTGTGTGTGTGAGAGTGTGAGTGTGCGTGTGTGTGAGAGAGAGTGTGTGTGAGAGAGAGTGTGTGTGAGAGAGAGTGTGAGTGTGTGTGTGAGAGAGTGTGAGAGTGTGTGTGTGAGAGGAGAGTGAGTGTGTGTGTGAGAGAGTGTGAGTGTGTGTGAGAGAGTGTGTGTGTGTGAGAGAGAGAGAAAGAGAGAGAGAGAGAGAAAGAGATCTTTCATCACATCAGATAAGTCAATATTCTATGAACTAATTACCTCAAAGAAAGATGGGCCCTCTTTCCATAAGAATGTATGCTACATTCATCCTCATTACCTGACATCAGTTGGGTTTGGTATTTTGGAAACAGATTTACTCACATAACAAAGAACATCATTTCATGATATCATAGTTAATTCACTAAAACCCAGGCAATCACTAAAATCAGGACAATGTGACATTCTTCAACGAATCCCATTCAATCAGGCCCCTCTGCCCATTTGGAATGTTTGCTCTTTAGAAGCTGGCAAATATAACCCGGCGCTTTATACAAACAACTTGCTTAGAAAGGCCACAGTCCTCATCTGTAGCAGCTCTATCCACAATAAAGAGGCTTCATGCTAATTGCTTCACTTAGCTACCTCGGCAACTCAAAGGCAAAGCAAACACACAAAGTATCCTCTGAAGACTTTCTGCTTTTCTGTTTTCCCTTTTCTTCGGCAAGTCTAGAGTCACTGGATCCACTGGTCCTTCAGTCCCCTGAAGGAAGTTAGGGGTCGGAGTAAGGAGTGTAATTAAGCTTCTGGGCTCCTGAATCTACAGTCTCCAAACCTAATGAATTACTCTCCCTTTCTCCACATGGCATGAAGGCTTGGTCTTTTCTATTGCTGGGGAAATGTGGGTGGATTTTTTCATTTCCAGACTTGAACAACAGTTTGACAGGACGTCCAAACTCATCTGAAAATTATCATCTCTGCCTCGATCTCCTAGCTGGAGGTGAGAGATTCCTGGGAAGGAGTTTACTTTTTCTTACCCTTCTCCACTAGGACGCTGCTGTCTTCTGGTTTCTTATGCTTGAGCCTGCTACGTGCCTCATCTCTACTCTATCGTCAGCTGAGAAATTCAAGGACCCTGCTAACTATTTGGAGGTGTCAGGGCGCTGGGTTTCAAGGTTTTTAGTGAATTCAGCCAACCCTCTTCAGGGCTGAATCTTAGCAGACTCGCCTTTCCCAACCCATTCAGAGTCTCAGGTAACTATCAGGACTGATTTAGATTTTATTGTAATGTCTTCTACATTTAAAATGGTTTTTATGGAACTTAATGATCCCCCTTCCCCATAATAATGTTCCACCTAAGCTTTTGTTTTGGTTAATGTGCCTAAATGGTGACCTGCAATTTCAGACTTACATATGTTGGTACGAGAATGCACATTAATGGAGCTTTCAAAAATTAATGCCAACAACAATCAAGGCACTGAGGTAGATGATGAACTCACTTTGTTCATGTGGACCTGCTGCTGGTACTGTTTCTGTTTCTCCAGGAACTGCTGGTGCTGCTGCTGAATGACCAGCTGGGCCAATGTGCTCTGAGGCAAAGGGGCAGACTGGGTACGGTTCAGGGGCCTATGGCGAGGCAATTTGTGGGCCCCTCGAAGGCCAGGTGACACTCTCTCCTTCGCTGCCAGCGGGGACTGAGGATGGAGGGGAACCCCACCTACGAAGCAAAGAAATGACATCTTGCTTAGATCACTGGAGACATGTCACAGAGAGCAGAAACAATGGTGATGATAGACAATGAACTTGGAAGAGGTAGGGATGGGTCTAGACCAGGTCCATCCATGTGGCATGAATGAAGGATCCACCAACTGCTAGGGACATTGGGGGGGGTACAAAGACAAAAATGAAAAGAAGTCCCTGACCCCAAGGAGGTTACATTCTTTTTGAGGGAGAACAAGCACGCCCATGAGTAAACAAGGAAGCAAAATTATCTGCTACCTGTGCCTCAGACCACATGCCTTACAAAAGTCCATGCGGGTAATTAACGGGTAGGATGAATTTAATTTTTATCCTGCAACCCTGGGGGAAGGAAGACGAATAAGCATCTCTACTACCAGGAAACGGTACCTTCTCCTGTGGTTCAACTTTTGACCAGTGTGATAGAGAATTAAAGGAGATGGTTCGTTAGGTCTAGAGAGTTCCAGAATGAAGCCCAAGCCCTAAGACAAAGTATTGGTCAGGGGCCCCAGCCAATTACCAGCCACAAGCAGCTTCTGTTGCCTCATCTGCTCCTTCAGTAACAAGTGCTGCAGGAGTGCCTGGTGGCTGCTGTTGGGTTTGCCTTCTAGGGCAGCATGCGGATGACCGGAGGATGCTGGGATGCTTCCCGTATATTGCCCCGGCAATGTAACTCCTGGCGGCCTCAGTGCTGGGGCCTCGCACTTCTGTTTGTCTTTGATGGAAGATGAAGCCTGTGTCGAGAAATAACACAGAGCATAATCCCCTTTCATCCATGGAGGCCATTTGGGCTGCACATAATTAGATCTGTTTATTATGTCATCATTCCCCAAAACAATACCCCCCTCTTACCCAACTGCTGAGTAAAGAAAGCTGCGAGGAGCAAGCCTGTTAAACTAACCGAATTAAGGAAAGAGAAATAAAAAACAGGATTGAAGTCACTTGAGGGAACTCAGGATTAGGTGTCAGGGCACTAAACGTGAAGGAGAGCTTAGTTTGGGATTTTTTTTTTCTTTCTTTCCACTAAGAGCATTTTAACATCTGGTTCAAAGAACGAGTTCATTTCTGAAGAGATTTTGAAACATTTATACTCTGAAGGTAGAAGGTTTGGGGGAAAAATAAAATTTATTTTAATGACTAAAACCAAGAAAAATTCTATACAGATCAAATGTCCAGATAGATAAGTATCCATGATATCAGAGTAGACAAGAAAAATTGCCCATTTACCCTCTCCTGATATTTCACCCCAAGCTGAATGATTCTAAAAACTGCTAGTTTTTTTCATCTTCACAGAATCACAGAGGCCCTCAGTTAAAAGGTACCTCAAAATCCATCCTGTGGAACCCATGCCTGACCAAGACCTTTCAGCAACATAACTGGGTAATGGTCACCCAGTCTGCCTGAAAACTTCTAAGGTTGGTTTTCCTTAAAAAATCCACTAAGCAAGATAATGAAATTCAATTCACTGAATTTCCTATTTTTGTGCTTTGAAGATCTTCCTAAAATCTTTTTTCATTTTCTAAAATTCTCAATTGTCTGTGACAAAATCTAATTTCTCACCTGGCTGCATTACTTTGACACTTCACTGACTGAATTCTCCTTCACACCCCAGGAAGCTCATTATTGGGAAGGCCTCATTATCCTGTAAGATCCCATCAGTCTTGGGACTCCACCTCATCCCTCCCCTCTGGTTGGAGGGATAAAGCGCATGAACTCCCAAACCTCCACTGAAGGAGGGAGCTCAGCTCAGACCTCCTCTCATTTCTCAAATATCTGCACTCCTCTGAGAATTCTGACTTCTTCCCCCATGCCCCTGTGATGGGTGGCTCTCTCCAGACCTCCAACTTTTTGACTTTCTCCTGTGTTCAGTCTTCCCCCATTAAATTAGAAGGTACTTGAAATATGCCTTTTTAAAAATATTTGTTTGCCCAGCACTTAGCACAGTGCCCAGCACATAGGAGGTACTTAATAAATGTTTATTGACTGACTAATTTCTTTAAGAACATACAACTTAGTTCTAATTAAAGGAGAAGATGGCTCAGGATTGACAGGATCACCACGTTGCATTTGTGATGAGTGTGAACCTGGTTTAAAACACATGCATGTAGTATTTGATCAAACATTCTATGTGTTTGGACGGTTTGGGATTTATCAGCGTACATAATACCTGATGTGGAATCTCCATCTCTGAAACAAATGGATAACTCTCCTTTAAACCAGAAACTTGTCTGTGGCATTCAGACATTAAGTGACTTGTCGTGAGTCACACAGTTGGGATGTATTAGAGGTGAGTTTCGAATCCATGTCTTACTGACTCTAAAAGCACCTTTTCTTTCACTGAGTCAGGCTGTTCAAATTAAGGATAGCTTAACTTATTATTATCAAGTTTCATCTATCCAGAAAAGCTTCACAAATAGAACCCATTGCCAAAGAGAATGAGAATGGCTCCCTTCTCCTCCTCCTACTTCATCCAGCCCCCAGTGGACACACCTTCCATTTTTCAAGCACCAGTGATTTCATTGGTTTGGGTACTTTCTCTATGGACATCGATTACAACCTTTCAGTGACTTGGTAGGGTTGCTACAGACAAAGTGGCCTCTGTATGGGTTCTCCACAAAGAGACCATCATTGATCACTAGATGTGATAAAATTCTTTGTGCTCTAAGAAATGATGCAGGGGGTGGTTTCAGAGAAATCGAAGAGGACTTGCATGAACTGATGCAGAGTGAAGTAAGCAGAACCCAGGGGACAATTTACGGAATAATAAAAGTTTTGCAAAGACAATCAACTTTGAAAGTTTCAGAAACTCTAATCAGTGTAAATACACACCAGGATTCCAGAAGATTTATGATTAAATAGGCTCCATACCTCCTCACAGAGAGAGGTGATGGGCTCGGAGTATAGACCAGGACATATTTCTGGACACGGCTACCATGGGGATTTGTTCTGCTTGACTGCACACATTTGTAACAAGGAATTTTGGCTCTCTTTCTTTCTCTTTGGGGTAGGGAGAGGGAGAGAAGGTGGATCTTTGAAGAGAAATGTAATTAAAACAAAAAATTACATCCAGCTGACACTGAACTGAGCATTGCATCTCATGACTGCTTACCACAGTCTCATTTTTTTTTAATTAGAACCAGTTTAAGCCTCTTTGTAGGATTGTGCTAAAGAAGGAAGGTAACGGCCAATCTCCAATGTTTGTCTCCAAATGGACACATCCTAGCAATGATTATAAAGTAACTAATGAGAAAAAATGAAAATTCAGTACATTATTCTAGAAAAGATGCCTGCTCTGACAGGCTACTTACACTGAGCTGCGGTGGCACAGCAGGGAGACCCAGAGTTATGTTGGGCAAAGATGGGGATGGATAGAGGCTTAAAAGATTCATGGACTCTTCATGAAGCAGAAGACGCTGCTGGGAAACCATTTGCTAGAAAAAAAAAATGAGAACAAGAGGAAAATCTCAAATGAAGACATAATTATAGGCATGAAGTGTCAGATTTCAAGGAGAAGTTATGACATTTTAAATGATTTGGTTTAAACCATAATGAGCATCTATAAAAACAATTGGAGTATTTACAATGCAATAAGAATTTTGATGCAAAAATGGCATTGCTTTTCAGTGACACCAAGTCTCTAGGAGTTTTCATTCCATTCCCATGCCTCTTTCCTCTTATCCTGTCATTTTGGTTCCACTTCTACAAAAACATTTATCACTCCATAAACATCTTTCCATCCTTTCTAATATTCTTCGCACTTGCTCATCTTAATTGCCTTGAAGTTTCCCTTTCTAACAGTGTATCACAATTTATTCAATCAGCTTTCTCCAATGTCATTGCTGCATGTTTAGCTTAGTTTTGTTTTTGTTGCTGTTGTTTTCTTTTGCAATTATAAACAATGCTTCTTGAATAAAAAAATCCTTTAGATATTCAATCAATAAACTTTATTAAGTGCTTACTATGTGCCAAGCACTATGCTAAGTGCTGAACAAATAACATTTTTTTAAAATCAGAGTTCCGCGGTATATTTCCAACTATTAAAGTTTTGGGTCTAAGAAGAGGATTTTTGGAAAAACAAATTTTAGTGAACACAGCCATATAGTCCTTCAAAAAGATTCTATAAACATTCAAATCTACAACTGATATATTACCAGTGTATCAAATTTCTGTATAACCAGCATATCAAATTTCTCACAACCTCAAAAGAACCATTTTTCATTGCTTTTAAATTTGCCAATTTGATGTTTATGTGTGTGGTAAACGTTCAGTGTTATTTCATCTATATCACTTTGATGATTAAAGAGGAATCTTTCAAGGACTTATTAAAAATGTATGTTTCCAATTAGAAAATAGTCTGTTCCCATCCTTTTTATGATTTATACATTGTGGGCTTATACTAAGTTTGTACATTTAATAATTCTTTATATATTAAGCTTTTATTCATCACATTTGCTATAAATATGTCCCCAGTCTGTTTTTTTCTTTATTTTGTTTGTGTTTATACTAAAACTTTTAAATTATTATTGATACATTTGTAAATCAAATACAGTTATCTTGTTCTTAACAATTCTTTATTTTTATTTACAGGAAAAAAAGATCACCTTCCTTCCATGATTGAGGAAATTATCCAGTTTTTCAGTCTGCTTTTGCTTAGTTTCATTTGATTTAAGTCTCTCCTCCAGTTGGAATTTACCAAGGGATCTGGTGTAACCTATCGGTCCAAATCCATCCTCCACCAGATTCCTAAACATTTTTTTTTCCTAAGTATATTTTTAAAATAATGAATTATGTCCCTAGTTTCAATTACTTGCAAATTTGTCAGATGCTAATCTTTTGAAAATATTAGATTGGGGTTCTGTTGTCTCTATTCATAGATCCATTTCTCTGCGATTTGGACCAAATAATTATGATGATATCACTGGCATATATTTGAAAGTGTATGGAGTACAAGGCTATCTTTATTTATTATTATTATTCTCCTTGCTATTTGGGTCTATTTCTTTTTCCATATAAAACTTATTACAATTTTAACTAATCCAATGAAGAAAACCCTGCTCATTGCATTACATCTATAGATAAATTCTGAAGTAGTCTTACTTTTACTTTATTAATCCAACCTGTCCGTAGACATTCAATACACCTCTAATTATTTAGGTCTTTTTTTTTTTAATTTCCATCACCAATGCTATGATGACTTTAAAGTGCTTGTAGGCATTTCTAGCTAGTCTAATTTTCAATGAATTGAGGCTTTTGGATGTTGTTATAAATAGGGAAGGAAGCTGTCTGATGTTTTCTGTATTGCTGGCATTGGTTAATAAAAATGCAGATGATTTCAATTGTGGATTTTTTGTGTGTGATTCAAATGTGGGTCAATCTTGTGAGTGTGATCCAAATGTGAGTTAATTTCATTTCTTATGAAACTGTCAAATTCATTTATCATCTCTATTAATTTGTTGTTATTGTTCAATCATTCAGTCTTGACCAACTTTTCATGATCCCATGTTCTACAGCATGCCAGGCCCTTCTTTCCTCTACTACCTCTGTCTATCTGAGTTCATGTTTGCTCTTTCCATGACACTCTCCATCTCATCCTCTGCCATCTCCTTTTCCTTTTGCCTTCAATCTTACCATTTTGAAATGGTAAGTTTTGAGAAATTTCTTATGACATCATCTGCAAATAATCACGTAATTATATTTTGACTTCTTCATTTTTGATGTTAATCAACCTAATATTTATAACTAATATTTTTCTGTCTTACTGATACTGCTGTATTTCTAATTATATATAAAATAAATGGTATTGGTGTGGACATACTTGATTGGTACCTTCCTTTAATGGGAAACCTTCTAATTTTTCATCATTGCCTACAGTGTTAAATTTTTGTTGAAACTATGTATGTTTATTATGATAAAGTAATATATTTCAGGGTTCAACGTTATGAAGGGCATTTTCAGCATGCATTAATATTATTATCTACGGTTTTTATACTTTAAAGAAATTATATGTTGTATTATCTTGATAGGTCTTCTAATGTTGAGCCAGCTTTTTATACCTGGTATAAAGAGTGATTATTCATGATAAATTTTTTTATGAATGTAATATGGCAAATAATTTTTTGAATCCAATTGATATTACTGATTTTAGGCCCTCTTCATCTATCACCAAGCCTATTGCAATAACTTCCTAAATGGCCACCCTCCATCCTCCCCCTCCAGTCCATCCTCAACACAACTGTCCAAATGAAATTCCTAGAAGAAGCTAGCACCATGTAACTGCCCTGCTCCAGAAGCTTCCAATGCCTCTGGGGTAAAATACAAATTCCTCTTTTTGTCCCATAAGTCCCTTCACAATCTCTCTGCAGCCTACCTTCCCTACCTGACCTCAAGTTATTGCCCCCAACACCATCTGTTTCAGCCAAACTAGCCAACTCTCCACACCCATCCATAGCATTTCATTTTCCGTCCCTGTGTGTTACTGCATGGACTGTCCCCCATTCCTGCAGTGTCCTCCCATCCTCAGCTCTGATTCTTGGAATTCCTGGATCCCCCTGAGGTTCAATGCGTCACCTTCTCGGCTTCTTCATGTTTCCAGGTCCTACAACTAGTACTTTTTCCTCCACCCTTGAAAGTAATTGGCATTTACTTTATTTTGACTTTGTTATACATAGATACATAGGCATAAAATAGTAGTGTTATCAGTAGTAGCTAACATTAATATAGTGCCCGCAAGTTTACAGAGCTCTATATGTATGTTATCTCATTTTATCCTCACAACAACCCTGTAAGGTAGGTGCTAGTATTATTCCCATTTTATAGATGAGGAAACTGAGGCTGAGAAATTAAGGAACTTCCCCATGGTCATACAGCTAATAAGTGTCAATGGCTAGATTTGAATTCAGGTCTTCCTGACTTCAGCTTCAGTGCTCTGTCCACTGTACCACCTAGGGTTTACCATCTTCCAAGGAGATTGCAAATTACTTGAAGGCAAGAAGCATTTTTGTTGGGCCTTTGATTCCTCAACATCTGCCTGATAAATGCCCTCTGAACTGCATTTTCATCTGTATAACCCCAAAGTCACCAAGGCCAGGCCAGAAAGAGGATGGCGCTTCTACAGCTCCTGAGCCACCATGCATGCTCCACATTGAACACATACATTCTTACTCCAGAGCGCCTTCTGGAAAGAATCTACTTCTTGCTCCTATTCCCTTATCGAGTTCATTCTAAGGAACTACACAATCACTCCTGACGTTTACGTAGCACTTTAAGATGATAAGGGCTGTAAGAGACACTCTCTCAGGTAAGTCATCCAATACGCCCCTGAGGGAGGTGCTATCTCCATTTCTGCAGAAGAAAAGACTCAGTCTCATGGAGGTCATGACCGTCCACAGGCACACAGCTCATCAGTGTCAGATGTGGGGTTTGAACTCAGGTATCTTTTGTGTCTTCCCAGCCCAGTGCTCTTTGCATGACACCATTCTCTAATCGAGATAAAACTGCTACCTTAAATTACAGGCGCTCAGGGTATATGGCCCTTTTAAAACTGTGAATGAATGAAAAAACAATGTGCCAAGCAATGTACTAAGTGTGGGGGATAAAAATACAAAAAGAAAAGACATTCCCTGGCCTCAAGGAGTTTACATTCCAGCAGGGGAAAATGACTTCCATCAGGTAGCAGTGGTCCAGGAAGTCACTAAAGATCTAAGGAAATTCATTGACAGTTCCTGACACACAGTAGACTCCTAATAAATACTAATTTATTGATTGATTGACAAATCTTTTTCCAGGAATAGTAGAATTGTTTTGATTACTGTTCCCAGAAAAAGATGTAGAAAGTGTTAGTATGTGTGTGGAGGTGGAGGGTAGTTAATATGTGCACCAATATGGCAGGAAAATGATTGGAATGCATCGTCCTGGTGTGGGGACTGACTAAATATAGTGAACTGTCATCAATTATAAGCCTAGAGACCCTGGGCAGGAACTATATGGTGCACAACAGTATGGAGAGAAGATGGCCACTGGGGCCTTTCGTGGAAAATGGCGAAGGACAGGGAAGGGAACTTGATGATTTCACAGTTCAACTTCAGCTACCTTGGTTAGCGGTCACCAATCCAATCTTGGTCTGTTCATTGAATTACAAGAGCATCAGCAGCAAGGACATCTATCTCTATCGTGCGAGAAAGTTTGCAAGGCCCTTGCTTCCATTTACTCCCTGGAGTTTCCCCGCAAGCCTGGGAGGTGGGATCTCCATTGAATGGTTGGTTCCACCCAGCCTACAGTCATATAGCCAAAAAGAAGCAGAGATGGGATTTGAACCCCATTCTCTCTGAGTCTGTGGTTCACGACTCTGTCCACCATTCTTCACCACTTCTCTGCAAAGGCTGATTCATTGTAAGTCTGGTTCAGATACTTATACATAGATTCAAAAGGATGG